TCATATTAATTTTTATCAATGAGTTCAGTTTTCATAATTTTTGTATGAAATGCTTTAATAATGAATAATATTATTTTATTTTAAACAAAAAAAAAACAATATACATTAAAGAAAACATAAAAAATTACAATAAAATAATCTAAAATTAAATGGCAAATTAACTCTTATAAACTCAAAGTAATTTGTAAATTTTTACATTAAATTTAAAGTTATGTAAAAATATATGAAACGTGCAGGTGCAGATTGACGGAAGCAGAGAGTCGTGCACAAATCGTAAGCCGTCAACTGCCAGAACGAGAACCTTTGAGCTTCGTGTTGGCTCGATGGTGTGCCAAGAACACTCTGGAGTCGGTTCGGTGGATATCTGACAGGCAGGACTACTAATGGATCCACAATCTACATCACAACCCGTCACTCTAGCACCCAAGAATTTACACGTGGCGAGCTTTAATGACGTCAGATAAAAGATCCGGGCCCATGCACTAAAAGCGTGACAATTTCTAGCCCGACCTTTATCATAGTCGACAGATCGCCGCATATCTACCACGTGTTTAGACATTATTACGACACGTGTCATTTCATGCATGGGCAGTTACTCTAGTTTCCAAAAAGATCAAAAAGAACAAGGGATAAAAACTATAAATCACGTGAAGATGCGCACGTGGCACTTCTAGGACTTTCCGTTGATGACTATTTAAATTATCAAAAATCAAAATCAAAATCAAACATGTAGATTATAACAAAACTGATTCGCATATCTCCTTCTGCCCCTGACGGTTTGCCCGATGTTTCCCGTTCCAGGCAGCTTAAACTACCCAGATAACAAATAAATAATAAAATTCGTGTACAAATTTAATTCTTTTTCCTTTTCTAATCAAGCATAAATATATATTTTTTTTTTTCAAAAAGATAAAATAATTAATATTTCCAGTGATTATAAAGTAGTCTCTTCCTCTCTAGCTGATAAGGACCATCTTTTTCCTGTCACTGAGCTTTTTCATTTCTTGGGTGGCACCATTTTCTCTCTTATTTGCCAAACAACTCAAGCAAGCTCTGTTTTGGACTTCACATTTCCTGCTTTTGAGTTACGGGTGCTTCCTCCATATTTGGCAGAGCTTTAATTTATTAATTTGTTTTTTTTACCAGCTAAATTTAGCAAACAATTTTCTCGTTGGGGATTGCTGTGATCGAATAAAAAGGCCTGTGTGAAATTATTTCGTTTGGTTTCCCTCTGTTTTATGATCTATTCGAGAGCGACGACGATTGTAATACCTAGAGAAATTCGAGTTCCAGATTATCCTGTAAAGTGGTCTGGTTTTTCTGTAAACAAAAAGCAGAGGAATACCCAGTACTCCGTTGTTAATCCTCCGTTCTTCGACTGGAAGGGCTTGACGAAGCTCTCTTGCAATTCAATGACGATCGAGGCGTGTTCGAAGCACATGGGTGAAGCTCCGGCTTTGATTTTGACATCCGGTGCAAGCGGACGCATAAGCGCTTTATTTTCGCTGCGCGTATTGAGGAGTCTGTTGATGCTAGTCGACGCGTTCGTTTTGCTGCTTTTGGTGCCGTTCCGAGGGAGGAGACGGACGGCGACGTTGAATTCCGCGAACAGATCAGATGATAAGCAGGAGGGCAGCGTGGGGTCCACCAAAAAGGGGGGCCCAGTGGTGCGGGTGCCGGCGATCGTGGCGTGGAGGAGTAGCTCGTCGTCGTCGTCGGGAATGGTGACGGTAGACCAGGAGGTGGCAATGAGACGAGCGCTGGCGATACGGAGAGTGGTGCAGGATGAAGGAAACGACGTCGTTAGAGGGTTTTCGCTTTTCGTCACCGCCAGAGGAGACACGCTCTTCACGCAGTCATGGACTCCCGTTTCCCTCAAAATCAGGTAAGGTTGGTTGTGTCTGTTTCCCAAATCAAGTTCTTGTCTGTGGCTTCATTCCCTTTTCTAATGGGGTAAAGTAAATATTTTTTCCCTTTTAACTTTTCTATTTTATTCTACTTCTTTGCATTTACTTACCATTAATTTTCAAGTATGCTTGGTAAATTCCTAGCAATACTGGATATTCATCAGCTCTCTCTCTCTCTCTCTCTCTCTCTCTCTGTGTGTGTATATATATATATATATATAATATATATACAATCTCCACCAATTATCCTTATAAATTCATGGCCTGCAAGAGGACCATGTCCCAAGGATTACGGTGCCAAGTAAAAATAGAATAGTATTTGTCTAAGCAGGGTCTCTTTCATCTGATCTGGTCCCGTAACTTGTACGCTCTTTATTCTCATTATAATCTTCAGTGAGGTATATGACCTGCAAGAATAATTCGCCATACAGCTTCTGTCTCATGTAATGTCACTGTTCTTGGCAGTCTCTTGTTGTACTATTGATAACATGCTAATCATCACTTGGCACGCATTTCTATTGATTCAGCTTTATTACTAAGAAAATATTCCTAAGCTGCTTTAATAGTTGAATCTGCTCATTGTCTTTTTCTGATGTTTATGGGCATTTCAAGAACATGCATTTGTTGGAAGAAATAGGTAATTCAAGGGAAAGAACTTATTAATGGTAAAACATAAACAAGAAAGAATGAATAAGGTGGATCAGCAGTAGTTTCATTTGGAGCTAAGTGTGCAAACAACTCTGTCTATGCAAGGTAGGTTTTTATCATATTTTATACAAAGTCAACCAGGTCGAAATTACAAACCATATTTGTATCATGGCAAGAAACTTAGGTGAAATCGACAGACAGTCGAGGATCTACTTGAATGCTTGGAAATATAAAAATAGACGACTCAGTTTATATATATATATATATATATATACACATAATGTCAAGGAGCTACTCTGGCACTCTGGTAAGAAGACAACTTGAGAAAAAAAGTTTAGATAGGATAATATGACTCATCTCATATAATAGATGCCAAAGTTACTAAATGCTCGCATAATGAAATTGACATTGGATATTGCTTTTCGACTTAAATGGGTATTGCTTTTTTCCCCCAGATTAGTCAAATATATTGGATTGATTGTCGAGTGCAGGTGAAGTTCATGTCTGTTAATACTAATTGCTGTTGCCTGTATGTTGCAGGGGAGTGGTTGTTCTTTTGCATGGCCTGAATGAACACAGGTTTGTATTTTGAGGCTAAATCCAGCTTGCATTTCAACTTCAGTTGATGCTCTAGTTTTATGACTATTCTCTATGATGTTTCAATTTTTAAAACAGTGGCAGATACAGTGATTTTGCAAAGCAATTGAATGCTAATGGATTCAAGGTTTATGGCATTGATTGGATTGGTAAGTTCAAAACCATTGCTTTCATTAATTTTTGGTTTCGTACAAGTGGATGAGACTAAAGAAAAGATATTACTGTAACTAGTTATCTTTCGGCGGTAATTCTATGGTGATTTGGAGGCATGTCTTTGATATGGTTATGGTAATTCAATAATACAACATAGTAATCAGTTAATATTGTGTAGTAATGATTGAATTATGCATAACATTATTAAAATTACTGCATAATATTTGTTAATTAGTTACTACATGTAACTTACTGCAAGATATTAGAAACTGAAATGGAAAGCATGATGGTCCCCCGTTCGTACTGCAATACCTGTATTCCAATGCTTTCCTGGGATAAGACTCATAAATGACTGCATGCTTTTTATTCAATTTGTGCTGTCATAAATGCAGCATATCTTGTGTATTGTCACTGTTGATTCCATTTTATCATTGCTGGAAGCGACAGCCTACGACCAAATTTATGCATGAGTTAAACATGGAAATTTTTTGAAAAGGAATATCAAAATTACTCCAGAAATGCATTCACTAATAATCTTCCTAGTGAATGAATTGCATTAGAAATTTTCAGCATAATCATTTTGTTTTTTTTTTTCTGGGCGTGGTGCGGGCTTATCATTTTCACTATAACTGGCTTTTTTTTTTTTTGTTTTATTTTGGGAATTGATCGACACAATATTATAAGTTCAAAACATGAGGCTGGATAAAATTTTGAAGCCAATGGATTTTGCTCTTTAACAATTACTAAGAGAACACGCAGGAGAAAAGAGCATGCAATCTATCTCAATCCTTTTGAGATTTCTTTTTTACATAATCCTTAAGCTCATGCCTTGATCCTACCAATCTTAAAAGGGGATCTTGTATTTTTATGTTTGAGCGTAGGACATCAGTCTTCAACAGTGCATATATATTTGAATGTGTTGCAGGGATTGAGTGTCTCTATTGGATGCCTATGGGGCTCAAAAGTAACGTGTGAAGCTCATCTTTTATAAGTAAGCTTATTCTCTGAGTGTGTTGCGTCTCTAAACTTGAATTTTCAAACTAGGCAAGTTGCTATAAGCTATAGTGTAAATGCAGAAGCAGAAAATATTAAAATCAGAGCCTCTTCTTTACCCAACATTTGCTTCTTCTGATATAAGGGTATCCTTTACGTTTCCTGCAAAGTTTTGTTGCAGTCACAAGATTATTTTATTGCATTCAGGTTCATGATAGCACATGATTCATATACTTCTATTCTATTGAGAAATCAATTAGGCGTTTATAGCTGCCCTCGAGGTTAGCACACATTGATGCATTGGAAGTTGCTGATATTGCAGGCTTTCTTGGGAATATTGCTTTCACCCTAAATAAATATTGCTTTAAGCAAGTGCATTTTGCGTCTTTACCTCATCTTCAGTCACTATGTATATGTAATTTTATTCAGAGACCGATAGACCGACATTCTTGCTACTTATCATATTTGAGTGTATTAAAGTTAAAGAGTTTATGGGAGGCCATTGTAAGTCCGAGTATTCTTCATAGTTAATCCGAATTCTCTTTTATGGAGATGTGATTTAACAACTACATGTAAATTCTCCTTCCCTTTTACCCTTCTGCTATTATAACCTATCACGTCATTTCAAACAACAGTAACATATATCCATATTCTCTGTAACAATCAGAACCCCTCATCTTTTCTGATTTGTGATCCCCTTTCGAGCAGGACATGGTGGAAGTGATGGACTGCATGCTTATGTTCACTCTCTTGATGATGCTGTCGCTGATATGGTATATAAGTTTTTTACAAGATGCTCTGATGAGATAATACAAAATTGGAATTGGTGCTATCTGAATTAAAACTTAATGCTTATTTTCTTGCCATACAGAAATCTTTCCTCGAGAAAGTTTTAGCTGAAAATCCTGGGTTTCCTTGTTTCTTCTTTGGACACTCAACTGGTGCAGCTATTGTCCTTAAGGTAATGATATTAACTGTTTATGTTATTTTTCAGCAAACTCTATAGTGAACGAGAAACAAATGACTTAGAAACTTGCACCATTATGATTCATTCATTGGAAAATAGTTTTCCAGAAAATTAAAAAATTAATTTCCTGCATTGAAAATTTATAGGCAATGCTTGATCCAAAGATTGAAGCCCGTGTAGCTGGAGTAGTACTGACTTCTCCTGCTGTAGGAGTTCAGCCTTCACATCCAATTTTCACAGTAAGAACTCTTCTTTAGGCACTTCTTATGTGGGTATCATACTCCAACTCATCTGTCATATAAATAGGAAGGAACTAAGCTTTATATCCTTTTTCTTTTATACATATCAGGTGCTTGCTCCAATTGTCTCATTTTTGATGCCAAGGTACCAATTCAGTGCAGCAAATAAGCAGGGCATGCCAGTGTCTAGAGACCCCGAGGCACTAGTGGCCAAATACTCAGATCCCTTGGTCTACACTGGATCCATCAGGGTGAGAACTGGGTATGAGATTCTTCGAATTGCATCCTATTTGCAGCAAAATCTCAACAGATTGACAGTACCATTTCTTGTCCTCCATGGAACTGCTGATACTGTCACTGACCCTGGAGCTTCTGAAAAGCTGTATCAAGAGGCCTCCTCAATTGACAAAACCATCAAGCTGTTTGAAGGGTTCCTGCATGATCTCCTCTTCGAACCAGAACGAGAAGCCATTGTCAGTGACATTATCGAATGGTTAAAGAGTAGAGTTTGAGATTAGGTAGCTAAAGGAGAGAAAAAAGTACTACCACCCAAGAAACCATCTAGAAAATCGAAGAGCACCAAGTTTTAACTTGGCAACTTTGGGGTAGGGAGTAGGGGTTGAGGGGAGTGAAGCAGAAGAGTCTGGGGGAGGGGGAAGAACCGGAAGAAAATTTGTGTTGCTGAATAAAGAGTCAAGAATTTTAATGTGTTGAAACCTGAGCTACTGTTGACTAAAAGGCTGTGCTGATCCTGCAAATAATTTATGTGGGGAATCTGTATTCCTTTGGGAGGAGATGATTGCTCCATGGTTTTAGTCTGGTTTGTTTTCTCTTGTGATTGGTGGCAGGGAAACCAGTACTTTCATTAGATGATGGATGGCATTTTATTTATGTATATCTATTTGCTAGTTGTGAGTTGTTGAATTCAAAATTAACAAAGTATGTCATATATACCATATTATATTATTATTATTATTTATTATTACCATATTATATTATCATCAGGTGAAATATAGTAATGGGTTAATGGCTTGAACTCTTCTTTTCTAAGAATACTATATTTTTAAGAATCAAACACAAACTTCCATTGTAAACTTCTTTTAGGAGGAAACCCTTGTAAACACCATTGGAAAATTTGTAAAATTTATTTGTAAATAAAGACTTGGCTTATGTTCAAAACAAAATTTAAAGTTTTTATGAAATTTATTTACAAGTTTACAGTAAGTTAAATTAGATGCAAATGAAATTCTTCTAAAAGATGACTTAATTTTAAATTTTATAAGAAAACAGAACAGTAAAATTCCAAAATCCATCAATTTTAGTGAAATTTAGAATGTATTATTTTAGTTTTACTTAAAATTTCAAACAGAATTCCTCCTTTTTTATTCATTCTAATACAATTTAAATAACCTTTATGGATTTCCAAAAAAAAAAAAAAAAAATACAACACTTTTGAATTTGTTCTAAAGCTAACCTTAATTTACTTAAAAGATAATAAATCCTTGAGTTATATTTAAAATAAATTCAAGAATATTATAAAATATATCTACAAATTTACTATTAATTCAAGTTAAAAGAATATTCACCCTTCAACTATGAGAGAATGTAAATTAATTATGACATATTGCATACTTGATCAATTTTACGGATAGCGACTCCAGTCGTCAAGGGAAGCACGATGCTTTGAGCGGACAGATTTCACGGCCGTGCATGATTCGGACGAACAGAAAAGTTCTTTGCGATTACATGAATCTAAAAGATGCATGTAACTTTTAAAAAATAATATTCTAAAGCTTTCATATGTTCTCAGTTATTTGTGTGGATAAAGTTTATGTTATAGAGTATATAACTTCGACCATAGGGATCCAATTTCTAGTGGCATTATAAATATTGATTCAAAAGAGGGTACAACAAGATCATGGACAATGTTGGTAGAGGAGAACCTCAACCAGGAATTGCCAAAACAAAAGATTTCATCAACATCCAGTTTTCAACGAAGAACTTTGACAGAACAATCCATTTCACAAGACACTACACAGCCAAAAAAGAAAAGAAAATAGACTAGAAAACTGAAAGAAGCAATACCCACAAATTGTTTCTGCAAAATTATCATATTTGATCAACAAGCATAAAGAAAAATGGAGCTTTGCTCCTCTAAGAATTTCCCTGCATGTCAAGCATTTCGTCAAGGTCTTTCAATCTTTTCAAACCTTCACTAATCAAGAAACGAATCTTTTGCTTGTCACTATAGTTCCGGTTACTTTCCATCTCCTGTCTGATAGTTCTTTCCAATTCAACTGCAAATTCCATTGCATTGCAGATAAGGGTATTATAATCTTTTGATGAGTGATCAAACTATTTGTTACATGCATATTAGTTAAGCACTAGTGAATCTAGGTAGAAAATTGGTTACCCTTTGAGAAGATCATTAAATAAAACGTTCTTTGAAGCAAGAAAGTTAACCTCTAGCGCGATCAGGAGCTCTTCGAGCAGTCCTAAGTGCTTGCCTGTACAGCTTCAGCACTCGAGCACGGAGAATGAAATCCTGCAAATCAAACGAGAGAGCCATACCCAATTCTCTGTGCTTCAAAAGAATGCCTCTGCACCAAAGCCTTTCCAACAAATTAAAACAATCCCCTCATCAAATCTAACTCAGAGAATTGAAAGTCGCCAATCTTGAAGTCGAAAATTAACTCCACATTTCTAACAAATCAGAAAATAATCCATTCTAAACAGAGATAAATTATCATGAAATATTGCTGTCTTTTTTATAATTGATTTTTGAGTTAGAATCCTATGTCACTAAAATCTCTGATATAAGATTCAGGTCAGGTGAAATCCTGTGTCACTAAAATCTCTGATATAAGTATTCAGATCAGGTGAAAATGCATAACAAATATGCCTTCATTTTATAACAAAAATTCCTACCATTATCATACTCATGAAGTTGAACAGTTCGTAACCAACCCTAACCTATTTACTTGAGAGCTCATCTTATTCATTCATCAATTTGATTACCCTAATTTTATTTCAACAGAAATGAAATTAGTATAAGAGTTTTCCATTGAATGAAAATAAATGTTTGGTTATCAAGCTAAGGAATGGTTTATCTTTGCAAGAAAAAAGAAAAACAGAATCAAGAAAAATATCAGAATTTTTGGGACTAGCGTTACCTTTAAAGACAGAAAAGGAAAGCAATTTGATACGTGAAGCGCCGAAAGACGAACTAAAACCAAGCATCAAGCTGCGAATCAATCTGCTTGGGTCAAGGGATTGCGAGGCAAAGTTGGGGGTTGCCGAAAAGTACACCTTGAGCTGCACTGAGTCTGATCTCGTCGTCGAATCGAACAAGAATGCAGCGGTGAACCGGATTACTGGGTCCGAATTTTTATCAGAACACAGCCGGGTTTGGTGAGAATTTTCTGAATCGGTGGGTGCAAAGCTATGAACCGGAGACTTAACCACCCTGATAAATTGCTCTCTCCTTAAATGCTTCATTGTTCCAATTTGCAGATTCTAGAAAAAAAAAAATGTAGATTTGAGAAGCTGTCTTTCCTTACGATTGAAAATTTTCATCTCAAACAGTTAATATACTTTGTTGATTTCTTTTAACATATATAGTTTTAGAGCATAATCTATGGTATTATTGAAGCCTAAACAATTCAATTATTTCATTATATCTGCTTAATGTTCTCTTCCATTTATAAAAAACTAAAGAGTTGAATTAAATCTTACCGAAAGCTTTTACCAGAGTATTACTTCAAATTGTTGAGCTCATGAGTTTGAAAAGTTGTCCTAGAATTCCCCTTTTCCAATTGCCATCAATCCAAGCATAAATTTTCTCTTATTTGAAATGTCATAGAAATGGCTGAAAAAAATTGAGAACCCCCTGGATCGGTGTCAAGCTCTTCTTTTTTCTTACTACTGTAATTAAATATATGTTGATTATATTGATATCTGAAGTCGAACATCGTTATAAATTTGTCTTCAAACTAACACTACCAAAAGACGAGATTAACAGTGAAAATATACTAACCCATAGCATTAATCTAACCATTCTACTCCATGCTAGAGAAGGGGAGAACACAAAGTTCAAGAAGCAAAAGACTGAGCTTGAAATCTTTTAGTGCCCCAAATATCAGTTTCCTACAATTCATAAACTTCCCTTCAGGAAAGCATAATGGTAAACAAAAACATCACGAATCTCAGGGCAACAAACATGGAAGAAAGCTCGATAGAAGTATTTCATTGTTATGTTCTCTTTTCTGAACTTAAAGCAGTTGTGCAACAACTTTCAGAAAATTCAGATGAGGATGCTATAAATTTTCCCTCCATGTTGTTTTGCTTTCTAATAATGATTGACTACATTAAGCACTTGGGTCAAAGGCCGTCATCATCAAGCACAACCACCAAATAAAGGAATGGAGGATCAGATCATCCCATGCTTCACCTTCCACCTTACTCCTGTTTGAAAAATGAGAAATGCATAGGATCTGAGGGATTAATTAAATATGCATCTTAAAAAATTTGGAAAAAAGGAAGAAAACCAATAAAGGAGCTCTTAAACAGAAGGGCTAAAGTGAATAAATCAGCACGACTGAGGGCTTGGTGCCTACTTGCAGGCCAGAAGTAGAACTCCCAAGAGCTTCTATTTCTACAAATTGGAAGTAATAAAGGAATATTATATAACTAATCGCATCAACGTGCTTTAGTAGGTTGAATTTACCTGCATTGGATATTAATCCTAATGCCAGTACAAGGTCTCACATGGGCAGATTCATTCTCTAACTTCTACAAATGCATGACAAGTAGCTTGTAGGCTCAAGTTAATAATATAAGAGCACTATGGACATCTAAATAGGATATACCTCCAATGCAGATTTAGCTTCAGCATTAAATACTTTGCAAAGAATTTCATAGTTCTTCTCCAATCCAGTCTGCACAAAAAGAAAAAATTAGTCTGTAAACATTAAATGAATTAGACGACATAAATACTTGTACAATCATTGGTAATTGCATACCAATGGATCAACGTTTGATGGTGAAATACTTGATATAGCATATCTGCACAAAGATCATAAGTCAGCCAAGCAGTCTTCTAACCAACGAGAATCACTACTCTGGTGAACAATTATTAACCTGAATGCAGAAATGCATCACAAATTCATGGCATAGAAACAAATGTGTGGATGGGAATATCTAGAAATACTTGATATAACATATCTGCACAAAGATCATAAGTTAGCCAAGCAGTCTTCTAACCAACGAGAATCACTATTCTGGTGAACAATCATTAACCTGAATGCAGAAATGCATAACAAATTCATGGCATAGAAACAAATGTGTGGATAGGAATATCTAGAAATTTAAAGATGCACGAACAGCTGCAGTCTATTTAGCCGGGAGATTTTATGGTACATCAAGGTGCTCTTATTTCAGAAATGCCTTCATATTTAAAAGATCAAGATGTACCTAAACCAGCCTCCATAAAGTGCAGAGTACTTATATGCACAGAGTACTTGTTCACAGGGTCTCATGCACACAATTACATTTAGGTGTATATTGTTACCAGACTAGAGTGTCAAGTTGAGTGACTTTCTTCATATTTTGCAAGGAAAATAAGGGAGTCAACTTTCTTGTCATTTTGTTACGAAGTACATAGAACATATAGTAGTAATTCATTGTGACTGACATAGCCAACAAGAAAAAAGAATACCTTAGCTTATTTATGTAAAAATTCATAGCCAGCAAGTTTGCCTTTTGAACAGTTAGAACCACGGCGCCCATCTGACTCTACAGGAGAAGATTTACTGAATCAAAACTAAAATGCAAAATGTTATTTTTTACCTAATACATAAATTGGAATACATCATAATAGACAGGTAAGAGCAATTCAAATTTGTGTATAACTAACATTGAAACCAATACAGCATGATATTATAACTAGATAAGGAGAAGTTCAGTAAAGATAGAAATGAGAACCTTGCGAGCAATAAGCTCAATCAATTGCATTAAGAATTTCCCCAATCCCTTTCCTTGGACACAAGATTGTAGCTGTAGTTCATACACATAGACAACAGGTATCTCCTCCTCCAAAGTAAAGCGATAATGCACAAATCCAACAATGCGGCCCTCATTTGTGCAGCTACCTGTTGACATCTCCTTAGTGTTTGAATTTGGAGCCTGATACACTAATATATAGCATGCTTCTGATGAAACCATTTCCCTGCGCTTCAATTTCTCTTCAGCAGGCCATTCAGATCCATACGGCCCCTCCATATTCACCTGTTAACAAATGTATGCTGATGACATTTCCCAGGAAACTGTGAGGAAGAGCACAGAAATAAAAAAATGCAGATTGAAAAAATTAAATAAATTTGATAGCTTTTATCACCTTTAAGAGCTGCTGAATGTATTGCTTCAAACTTGAGGAAAGCTTATTGCCACGGCCAGAGTCCAAGTATACGGAGACCCCTGGAAGGTTTGCACCAAGTTGAAAGGAAATTACGAGGGAAGAACATCAAGCTTTATGCTGCCTAACCACAAGAGTTAACTTTTTTTTCTTTAATGTGAATGACTTACCTCAAAATGTAGGTACATAATTTTATTAGAGAAACCTCAAAATTAAAAATTATTTAGTCACAGAAAAGGACAAAAGAGGGTCAGCGTTCTAAACTAACTAATCTTATGAAAAAATACAGATTATAACTGATAGTCGTGAGAAAGAGCAGACAAGCTCAATGAGGTGAAGGCTATGCTCGGCATGAGAGAAAATGTGAGAAGAAAAAGATAGGAAAAAGAGAAAGAAGGTGAAAGGGGTCCTCTGCTGCTCAGTAAAAGAAAAAAAGTATAGGGAACGGAAATAGGATTTTTTCTACTCCTCTTCTTTAATGCATCCTTTTACTTATCCTAATTTGAGAGAATAGGTGGAGAGAAGAGGAGTAGAAAGAAGATGGGAGAATAGATTGAGAGAACATAAGTGAAATTATTTTCACTTCGTATCCAATCATTGTTCAACCCTGCAGAGCAAAGGAAAGAGTCGCAGAAAAGATCCAACTTTTCTCTTTCACATGTCTACTAATGCACGTGTTGAGAAAAGGTCCAACTTTTTGCCCTAAAGAGCATATTCACCATTAGATACTACATAATACTATATCTAACAGTGCATAGAAATAGGGGCAAGTTGGCCTCAAGTGACCCTAGATGATCCTATAGAAGGTCAATCTTCTCATTTCTATCCTCATTCCCTTCCCTTCTACCCTTTTTTTTCTTCTTATAGCAAATAGGGCTTGATACAAGACAACATTTGTAAAACTTAACCATAAAATTAACTTTGTTATCCAGTTTGATGAAATAGTATGCCAAAGAGCTACAGGTAAGCCTAAAAGGGGTTTATGGGATAATACCATTTGTGTTGTAACTACGGAAGGGAGAGAAGGATGCAAGAGGGTCATTCTGAGCAGAAGCTGCCTTTATCAGTTCATCAATTGCCTTCTTCTTTTCCAGCATCTGCAAGTTCACATTGATATTGATTTCATTTCCTACAAACTTTGTAAATTATGAATTTTGTCAATATATAGATCCAGTTTCGTCTAATTCCCATTCAATTATTCCTACATGCTACACATAGTTTTAAGGCTAATCCCAATTGTAAAATTACATCACAATTTATATATTGAATCACATCTACTCTCACTCCCATTTCCACCTTCAGTTTTTCCAAAGTTGAGTTTTTCTTTCAAGGCTAATCTCAATTGTAAAATTACATCACAATTTATATATTGAATCACATCTACTCTCACTCCCATTTCCACCTTCAGTTTTTCCAAAGTTGAGTTTTTCTTTCTCCTTTGCAATTAATTCCCATGCTCTAGAGACTGCCCAAAATATTTAAGGGGAGAATGCAAGTGCTTCAAACATGAAACTACGATATTATTCTGCCTATCAAAATTAACAGGGTCATCAGATATAAAAACGGATAAAAAAGAATTAAACTGGAATCGAACAAAACAAGCAATTAGAAACATTATAGCGTATAATTTCATACACACCTGTTTACGTTTTAACTTCTTTTCCTTCCTGGATTCCATTGTTGTTTTCCTTGCTTTCCTCTTCCCTCTTCAACTCTATAGTCTACCGTACCCCACCACCATTTACCCGTAGAGATGTCTGTGTTGATAGACAGGAATTACATTTTAAGATTCTTTGATAATGACAAAACGAAAACTCATAAAGTGGTTAACAAAAGGATCATAATCAAGGTAAAAATAATTTTAGCTAATTATACAGAAAAAAAAAATAGTACAGCAAAGAAACAAGAAAACACAATCTACTGAGCTATATCACCCGGTACACACAAATTCAAGTATATGAAGCTTAAAAATGTTCTTTTTCTGTTTTCTTCATAAACTGAACCAAGTGAAATAAGTACGGGAAAGCATACTCGTCAGTGGAAAATTCAGCTCGTCTCCGTTTCCCCGACGGGTAAATTTCTACTGGTTCGTATATAAAGCTTATTGAAACCTGGAACTCCAATTACCTACGCAAAGGGAATCGCAAAATGAGAAGAAATGACAATGCAATTGTAATATATTATATATATATACATATACGTATATATAAGAGAAGCAGCAGGCAACAACTAACCCGAGATTGCTGAGAAATGTAGCAGTCACAAACCCGAAACAAGACTTGGTGATATAAGAAGCAAAGAGAATCCTATGAAATTCTTAACTTCTGATTGAACAATCGTTCGGTAACCGCGAAAAGAGCTCGTTGCCTTATCTGGAGATACAGAGGAATGATGAAGATGAGGGAGCCTTCAATCTGAAATAGGGAAGCATATTTGTTCATTTTCAGATTAATTGCAGAAATCTCAGACGATGTTCCACATAAAAATTTGATTTTTGCAATTTAATACAATAATGAGGAAAGACAACTGGGCCTTCACTGGGCCGATCCAATGGGTAATTCACAAAATAGTCAATTCAAACAGATGAATAAAATAAATATTTAAAAAAGTGAGAAAAATAATTTTTGTATTTTTAAAATGATTTTAAAATCAAGAAAGCAAAAAAAAAATTAAAAGGAAAAAATGATTTTTTACGGAGAAAGTTAACGAGGTAATTATAAATTTATTTAGTAATTTCTGAGAGAGTAGAAATACTGCGAATGCGAAAGAAATTTCATTTCTTGCTCCTCGGAGAAATCTAACAGAAGCCTCTTCCTCCAGGCTTGACTTTACGAAACACAACAACAGGGACTTACCACCAACCAAACCTTCTTCTCTCTATCCTGTTCATGCTAAAACCACTGCTATAGCTAGGGTTTATTTGCAGACCGATATGGCTTTTCAAGGAAAGAAGCTTATCAACGACCCTAACGGTTCGCATTTCTCTCCTCGATTCTTTTTTATTTTCTTTTTTTTCTCGGACTTTGACTTTTCAGTATCAAGCTTTCGTTCAATGCAATTCTTTGCTTCTGTTACTGCATGCTTGCTTTGTTCTCTGCTTGGTTGCGATTATCTTATGACTTGCTTTGTTCTCAGCTTGGTTACGAGAATTTTTATCTACTTGATATATTACTTTTCTCTCTAAGGAAACCGGTTCACATTGTACGCTCGGTTTAAAATTCTTACATATTTGATTTGTGTTTAGAGGATTTTATCTGCTTGGTTTTTTGAGACCCTTTTTCGGCTCAAATTTATTCCTTAAATTTGGTCGTTGTTGTGTTTTCACTTTTCTCTTTTTCGTACTAAATGCAATAGGCCTGGCCTAGCTTGTTTTCTCAGCTTTGTTTCGCTGACGAGAGAGTTTTATGAGGAAAAAGAAACTTCAGAAATTTTTGAATGTTTTGCTACCATGTTGTTTTTGGCTGTCCAAAGATTATAAACTATCGTCCATTCGTTTATTTTTTCTGGTGTTTCTCCTCCTTCCCGATAATCTGGAGTTCCCCTAACCTTCGTTTGACTTAATTTGTTTTCCAATCCTTTCTTTAAGGGGCATGGGACGTGGTGTTGGGGACTGTGGGGTAGGAGGAGGGTGTAAAGGCTAACAATACAATAGCTAATTTCTCCGTGAACAGTCACAGACGGCACTAAGATTTAAAAATCAATATTTTAATCCTTACAGTTTCTCGAAGTCACGTTGAGTAAAGGATTTATGCCATTATGTATATGCATATTCTCTCATCGCAAACTTTTCTGCTTAGAACTAATGTCTAGAGCTGACTCCAATTGATGTTAATTGATGAAAATTTCAGTTCTATATTAATAGTGCCTCCAATTGATTCAACAGTCATTTGGTTGCCATGAAATAAATCTCATTGCTAAATGTCGCTGTTGGCAGTAATGAGAAAGCCTATTTGTATGTTGAAAATATATTTTGACAATTCCTGTATGATCTAGTTTCAGCTTCATTTTGTACTTCTGCTAATAAACAAGCAATTCTTGTATCTGTTACTGAAATCAAGCATTAAAGGGTTAAGAGTTAAATCTTTAAACCTCAAAGGATAATCTTTGGCTATATGAAAACTTTGCTCAGATGTTATGGCCTGAGGGACCACATGTTTTCTTGGGCTTTCTAATTTTAGGTACTCTTAAGTCTTAGAAAAAGAAAACTTCTGTTATTTATTATTTTGTTGGGAGGGTGGGGGGTTCCATTGTTCTTATGTTGACTGCTTCTGAAGATTTCTGTCTGTATTCCGGGATTCCTACTGATAAAGCTGGATTTAGCTATTGTCCTTGTCTGAGTGGACTGGATAATAGTTTTATGATTGTAACTTTCCCTTGCTTTGAGGATGATGTGAAGTTCTTAATATTTTCCCATTACTGGTCCGTGGTTCTATTCTCTGTTTGGTTATTATGAGGGAAGAAAAAGAAAGAAGTCAAAAACTACGTGCCGGGTTTTATCCTGAATGTTTCTTTCCTATTTTTTCTTTTCAAGATTCTAAGGATTCCTAAATTTTCTTCTTTGCTTTTGGAAAGTATATTGGCTTGTTCTTTAGTTGCATGATACTTTGGTGCAATTGAAAGTATTTGACGTATATTATAAACTTGGACAATTGGAGCTTTTGGCTTATGTGTTTTGTTATTCTGATTGCAGATGTGGTGACCGAGTTCATTGAGGGTCTTGTAGAAACTTATCCTGGACTACAGTACTTAGATGGCTTTCCTGAGGTTGTTAATATATATTTGTTTCCTGGAATAGGGCCATGGAAATAAAAATAAATTGAGGCGTTGACAGTTTCCCTTTCTATGCAATTACAGGTAAAAGTCGTGATACGAGCTGATGTTATTGCTGCAACATATGGGAAGGTTGCAGTTATATCAGGTTTGAGATTCTGCAAATGTTAAATAATGTTTTTCTCGTCAGATTGAAGTTTGGCACAACTTATTAATTTCTCTGAAGTCCTGGTATCATCTCTATGAACTGTGGCTGGAACAGCTATTAGTGTTCCGTATTACACGCTCATCTTCTCACTCATTGGTTCGAACTGTAAATTACTAGACAATTTTAACAATTTCAGGAGGTTAAATATTTGATAGTAAATTCTTCTTGGTCTCAAATCTAATATTTATTTGTTTAACCAGTATAGAGGTCAAATTGATTTTGTTGTATCAGGTAGAATGAGAAATTCATTTTGTTGTATCAGGCAGAATGGGAAATTCATTTTGTTTTCTTGCCTTTGATCTTATCTAAAATTATTATGGACACCAATCACTATGTATTGTTAATAGTTTATACCTGTAACATAACATAAGGTTGCTGTTGATCTCTTCTAGTGTAACACCTATGTTTATTCTTTTTTTCTTCTCTTCATCCTCTTAATTCTTAGGAGGATTTTGGGGAGCCTAGTTGTTATCTTGACTGATTTATAGACTCTTCTTTTGTACATGGGGGCACCACCTTGACACCTTGTTTATTAAATGTTTTCTCCTTTAAAAGATGCATTTTTCCTCATAATTCTCAACAATTTTGAAAAAAAGATTTTAAAGCTTTTTTTTGGGTATGCTTCACTAAAGTCCAAAGCTTCATCCTTACGTTTCACGTGAAATTTTGTGTGTTTGTTTCTTTATTTGCTTTGTTTTTTTTTTTTTTTTTGTTTTTGTTCTTTTTTTCAAAAGAAGCTAAAAGTGTTCCCTCTGTGTGAAATATGCAACTTATCTTCCTGATGCATTTTCAAATCCCTTTTTCTAGTTAACATTTCACTCAATCTCCATTTTATCTGACAAGGATGGCTCATTTTCTTCTATCAAGCTTCATAATATTCATTGGTCAAGATTGTATAGTTTTACTTTGTTTCCAAGAGAAATGCCCTTTAGCAAATACCACAGGAACCCATGTATTATTTGGCTAATAGAAAACTTTTTGTAATATGATAAAATTTATGATATAGGTGGTGGAAGTGGACATGAACCTGCACATGCTGGATTTGTGGGAGAAGGAATGCTGACAGCAGCAGTCTGTGGAGATATTTTTACCTCCCCACCCGTTGATTCAATTTTAGCTGTACATTCTCTTTTTGTTTGTTCTAAGTTGATGGTCGGAATGGGTGTATACCGTCCTTTATTACACTTTTTGAACAAAATGTTACAACGGACATTTGTTGTTCTCTTTGCTGGAAGAGAGATTGGTAGCTGTTATTTTCTTTGTAGGCTAACCATATCTGATTTAATTTCAGGCAATTCGAGCTGTGACTGGTCCACTGGGGTGTCTCTTGATTGTCAAGGTATAGCTATTCCAAAGCTACTCAATAATGACATTAACATCAATTGTTTTGTTGCTCACTATATCTGGTGGTATGTTGGTGGTTGCTGCCTTTGAAAACTAAATCTCTGTTGGACACAGATTTTTTTTAAAAAATAAAAATCTCTGTTGGACACTGATAGATTAAACTGTGGAGAATATTAAAACACTGAATAGATTGATAATTTTTTAGCCATGCAAGTTCTGTAGGGAATTTAGTTAGCAATAGAAGAATGGTCAGAAAGATGGATAGGGTTTTTCAAAATTTACATCTTATTTTCCAGGTGGAATTCATTCCAATTTATCGTGGTCTAATGTTCTTGTTGCCAGAATTATACTGGTGATCGTCTAAATTTTGGTTTGGCTGCAGAACAAGCTAAATCGGAAGGTTATAAAATAGAGGTACCATTTTATTTAATTCTTAAGATTAGCCATACTGGTCACTGTCAGTTTCATTTAATTTTCAGATTATCCATATCAAAGTGAGAAATCATGGATGATAGTTATAACAGCTGTTATTTTTGTAGTCTGTCATTGTTGGGGATGATTGTGCTTTACCTCCACCTCGTGGTATAGCTGGGAGAAGAGGCTTGGCAGGGACTGTTCTTGTTCATAAGGTTCTCTCTCTCTGACACGTGGTCGCCCAAGTACATTTTGCACTTACACATATTTGTGCGTGTGATATAAATGGGAAGCAATTGATATGGCTTTGTTTGCATGACGTGCACAAGTTCTTGGCTTTGCTCTCTATTTGATTTTGATTCATTAACTCTAATTTCCAGTGCCTCTTTTGTATTTCAAAAAAAAAAAAAAAATTCCATTTCCTCTTTGAGATCGCATGAGAATTAGGGATGTCAAAACACCTTTTTTTAAAGATAAATGTCTTTATATTTTGGTGTCACTTAAAAAAGGGTTTAATGGCAAAACAATAAACAGTTTGGAACAAATGAGAAGGAAAAAAAGGGGAAACATATTGGAACAAAAAACTGTTATTCATTTTTCTTCTCTGGGCTCTCTTTTCTTTTTGTTCTTGATATTTTCCAGGTTTCCATTTTTTAAAATACATCTTGCAGATACAGAGTTATTTTTAGTTACATTTTTATTTTCTCCCAGTTTATCTTTTCTAATGACACATTATGATGAAAGACTGAAGGTGATTAGTTTGTTGTTATTTTGCACAAGCATTGCAGAAAGCTATTGCAAGCATGACAAATTTTCTTTAAAATGGTTGTTTTTACTTCTTACTTTCACTGTAATATATATAATGGCAAAACTGAAATTTTCTGCGGTAACATTTTGTTAATTGGGTTTCCTTCAATGTTTTTCCTCCATTCTTTCTTATAGTATATTAGTTAATAATGTCTGATTACTTTCTGATCAAGGTACTAAACTGGCAGATGTATTGTTTCATTTTACTTTTCACTAAATACTCGCTGTAATTTCTCTTCACCTTTGTGAACGGCAGGTTGCGGGAGCTGCTGCTGCAGTTGGCCTTTCACTTGTTGATGTTGCTGCTGAGGCAAAGCGTGCATCTGAGACGGTTGGAACGATGGGTGTCGCTTTGTCTGTTTGCACACTGCCTGGCCAGGTCACATCAGATCGTTTGGGGCCTGGAAAGATGGAACTTGGTCTTGGAATTGTGAGTTATTTATTTATTTATTTATTTTGGGGCAGCTAAATTCATTGCAATAGGTGTTTCATGTATAAATTCATTACTGTATATTTTTTTTTGTCCTTTTTAATCTTTTGATAGATGCTAAAGTAGTTCTTTTTTCTATTTGGCAACCTATAGAACTTTCATGCATTCCTCAGATACTTTTGTTGCTGTTTCCACTATTATTAAAGTACTGTTTTGTTTTCAGCATGGGGAACCTGGTGCTGCTGTGGCCGACCTTCAGCCTGTGGATGTGGTGGTTTCTCACGTTCTTAATCAGATTTTGTCTCCAGTATGTCCCATAGTTTATGGATGTGATGTGCATATTTCTTACTAAACTATTGGTCCACATATGTCTTTTTGAGAACAAAAAAGAGTGAATTAAGCATGGAGTCCCACTTTATGCAATGATACCGGTATTTCATGTATCAAATGATGGCACTAGTGAGAAAAGTTGTTTGTTAGTAGACCTTTGCTTATTAAGGAATTTATTTATTTTCCTGTGGATGACTTACCTCCACAATGACCATTTTTTTTTCTAGACAGTTTTGAATAAATTTTAGGCTTTAAAAAGAAAAAGGAAAGAATTATGGTTTTGTTGGTTCTTTACTGTTAAAGTGGTTAGTCGTGTGGGGTTTATTGACATTAACATTTTTGTAAGACCCAATGAAGTCAATTGCTCTGTCTCCTCTAACCTTCTCTTCTGGTAATGTTACTTGTTACTAAGGTTGACCTTTTAGTTTTTACAATCTTATTTTCTGTTAATGGCAATGTCTATTTTTACTTATTAGTAATAAATTTGGCTTGACTGGGCTCATTGTGTTTAGGGCATGATACTAATAAGGTGAGGATTTTGAAAAATTTATTGACATACTGACCGAACTGTAAATATTTTTATAACTGGGTGGCATCTTCTTGGTGGTACCTTCCTATTAATATACACCTTATACTTTTTATTTAGAAAAAAAAAAAAGAAATTTGGCTTGGTTGGTGTTGCACCATTTATGTGAGAAAAGAATTGTGACATGAGCCCTTGTATGTTGCTTAACAACCATGTGCATTTTTAAATGACTCACTAGAAAAAACTTGAGTTTTACTTTTCGAGAACCACTAATTTTGGTCCGAAAGTTGTTAACAGCTCTTGTGCCTAGAGCGTTTCACCCTGATTTCCTATTGTCATTTCTTTTTCTATGACCATATAAATATGTTTGCAATGGCACATGCACACATTCAATTTTAAAATGAAACCACAAAGAGGTACCTACATTTTATTCGAAAGTGTATTGTATTTAACAGTTTCTTTGTTTCCATTTATCAATCCTTACAGGAAACTAATTACGTTCCAATTACACGCGGTAACAGAGTGGTTCTTATGATTAATGGGTAGGCCAATCTATTTCTTCTTTTTGCTTGAGATCAGATTTTACGTCATTGATTCTCAGTAGAAGACTGGAAAAGTTATCAAAAGTAGACATCATATTATGGGCTATGTTCAGCAGCTAAGGGCTTGTGCCAACTATATGGCATTTACTCCATGTATATGTTCCATAGTTCTCTCTTGTTTAGCAGATTTTACATTCGAATCTGGAGATTCTGTTGACAGATGATTTCTCATATCGTATTAATTACAAAATGGACCTTGTATATGTTGGTGAACAAGTTTCGCTCTGGAAGCACAGATTTCTGAATGAATTCGCAAATTAAGTTCACTTGCTCCAAATATAGCCTAAGGTTTAGCTTCACTAGTAGTTTTTGCCACTAGCTCTATCAAGAGCCAACTCTAGGGTCCTCTTACCATGTGCCTTTTTTATGCCTCTTTTATGCAAGTATTCCTTGAGGATATAACAAGCCAATATTTGCTGCTACGTGATGGAGGAATTTCCTATAAGGACATTACATGTACTTTCAATTAAATTTACCATGTTATAAAATATATTATTGGACTTATTCTTCATTCCCAATTGTCCATGTGTATATACAATTTGTTACATTTTTCCTTTTAGAAAAGTGTCTTATCTTGTGATGAAAAAATGATGCCAAAAACCATCTAAGTCCATTGGACAAAGAACTATTAGTTTATTAATCTTCTACATGTGCTTTGCTGTAGTTGGTAATTCAATATTGTGTTGGCAGAACTTTACTCTGGAGAGAACTTGATGTAGGACAAATATGGTTGTTTTTTCAATTGGGAATTCGGGGATAAAAAAAACCTAGACGTTACACTTACGGGTTTGATGACATCATACAACCAAAAAACTAAACTATTAAAATATTATTGAATATTTGAATGAATAAAAAATTACATTGTTATTTATAAGAATCTCTAAATAACTTTTCTTAGTAGAATTAGAGTAGGATATAGTGATATAGTAGAATTAAGAATATTAATCCTAATATAAATAGAAAATAATACTAATAAAAATAAACGCCTAACTCTAATAAGATTAAGATTCTAAGTTACTAAAACTATAATAATCTTAAATAATATAATAATAAATCCCTAAATAGTATTTTTTTTTTATATTTAATGTAATTACAATTTCTAATTTATTTAAGAAATCTAGTGATAATCCATTCTACATCAGATTTTTGTTTTTAGCAATACTGGTCTGCCCTCTCCCTTTTTAACAAACAAATATTTTGGCTGTAGTTTAGGTGCCACCCCTATGATAGAGTTAATGATTGCAGCTGGAAAAGCAGTACCTAAGTTGCAGCTGGAATTTGGCCTGGCAGTTGAAAGAGTCTACTCAGGGTCATTTATGACCTCTCTCGATATGGCAGGTTCAATTGTGTTGACTATAACTTGATCTAGTCCTTGAAAGAAACATGGTTTGTTCCCTATTGTAAAAATCCATTGCTTACAGGATTTTCAATATCAATAATGAAGGCTGATCAGACAATTTTACAACGTTTGGATGCTCCAACTAAGGCTCCACATTGGCCTGTTGGCACAGATGGTATGTGAATACCTCCTAGAGTATTGATTTTTTTTTCTTTATTTCTATTAAGCTATTCAGTGGCATTAGTCTCATGAATTAGTGATCACTCTTGCCATGTCCTCTGCTTTAATACCTAATAATCCTTACGTGAATTTCGTCCCTGAACATGGGTATGGTCTTCTCTTGCAGGTAATCGTCCACCTGCCAAGATTCCTGTTCCATTGCCACCATCTCATTCAACAAAGATTGAAGAGGTGCGTCTAGATAGAAATGAGGCATTTTCAAATGAAGTATAATGAATAATATAACTGGATTTTCTAAGAGAAGTAATTTGCTGACTGCATGGGCTGTCAAAGTTGGACTGATATTTTTTATAAAATTAATTTAGTAAAGAATTTAAATGCTATTTATAGATAGGTTACCTGTATCAGTCTAAAGAGAACGGAAGATAAAAGTGGCTTGGAATTTGTTTCCAAAAATCGTTTACATCATGTTGCCAGTTAATTGGATTTGAAATATCAGTATAAACTGAATAGAATGGTAGGTGAATGTTGATAAGATTGAGAAATAAACTCCTCTTGTTTCTAGGAATTTTAGGTCTAACAGATATTAAGCAATGTTTTGATATGTTACCACTCAGTTGGAGCTAACAGCTCACTTGTAAATTTGATTAGTCTCTTAGTCGACCGCTACAACTGAGTCCACAAGGCCATATTCTTGAGGTGGCTATTGAAGCAGCAGCAAATGCAATTATTACTGTCAAGGGTAGTTTAAACGAATGGGACAGCAAAGTGGGGGATGGTGACTGTGGGTCAACAGTAAGTCTCATCCTTAGTCGTCTCTCTATTGTCACCTTCATTTATTGCCTGATGCATGTGACAATTCTTGCTTACGATGTCTAATTGTCTTTTCAGATGTATAGAGGTGCAATAGCAATTCTGGAGGACATGAAAAAGTAGTAAGTTATATTTTCTGTTATCATGCTTTCCTTCTTAGTTCTTAGTAATTTTACATGCAAACACTTTATTTTTTTTGCCTCAATAGAGAGTGGATGGTTATTCTTATGAAATTTGAGCCATTTTCTCATTGCTTGTTGTTTTACTTGAAAAAAGGTAAGATTTGTCTTTCTGTATAATTTGATTGACTTAGCCATTTGGTATTGAAAAGAAGATAGATAATAAATAACTAAAGCCACAAAGTGAAGTTAGAGGTAATTCTACTCAAATAAGGTCAGGGGATTGAGAAAAACCTCATATCCAAAATTTAAAAGGGGACACTAGCATAATAGATCTGTACGTAAATAAGAATATAGTTGGAATTTCGGAATTGTTATTAGATTTCTTGTTTGTCATTTCAAAGGGTAGACTGTTCTGTTGCATTCACTGAATTGAATTTACAAATTACACCTGTAGTGTTTTGAGCACCAAGATAGTTTGTAGTGATTGAGTTTATTTTGCAACTTAATTTCTTAAGGCAGTATATTGGTAATACAAACACAACTTTTTTGTTTTCAATGTTTCCTTTGTTTCCTTCATTTCTTTTCATACTTGTCTGACCTGGTATATCTACTTCTCTTGTTACCAGTTATCCTCTAAACGATGCTGCAGAAACAGTAAATGAAATTGGATCATCTGTCAGAAGAGTTATGGGAGGAACAAGTGGAATCTTGTATTTTACTCTGTCTTGGGCTTCATTATGTGCTTTAATATTAATATAAACTATAAAGTAAAGCTCTGTTTCTCTCCTTTTTATCATAGATACAATATCTTTTTTAAGGCTGCATACGCACAGTTAAAGGCAAATGCTCAGTCAGATGTTACCTCGAAAGAATGTGAGACAAATCTTATGTGATTAGCATTTCTATCCCTGC